TGTAGGCCCCCTTCAGGTACTGGAAGGCTGCTATAAGGTCTCCCCGGAGCCTTCTCTTCTCTAGGCTGAACAACCCCAACTCTCTCAGCCTTTCTTCACAGGAGAGGTGTTCCATCCCCCTGATCATTTTCGTGGACCTCCTCTGGACCCGCTCCAACAGGTCCGTGTCTTTCCTATGCTGAGGGCTCCAGAGCTGGACGCAGCACTCCAGGTGGGGTCTCACCAGAGCAAAGTAGAGGGGCAGAATCACCTCCCTCGACCTGCTGGCCCCGCTGCTTTTGATGCAGCCCAGGATACGACAGCTGCAAGATTTCCAGCCTCCAAAATCAAAGTCCTGAAAATGCTTTTTTTTAAAATTAAAGAATCAAAGTTTAGATTATCACATATTCCCAAGACAACATGAGGCTTAATTCATCACTCCTTTGAAATATTCTGAAAGCTGAGGGTTAAGAGGTGTTATATTAGTGCAGAATAATGATGATTAATTTGTGTTTCGTATCAAATGCAGGAAGAGTAGATATGTGTGCAGTGAATCCTCTATAATTTCAAAATCTTTCCATAAACTTGAAAATACCTTGTAGACGTATGTACCTTAAATGGAACACAAGACCACTTTTTTTCTGTTTGGAGTGTGGCTGGTGTTGTTTTTTTTTTTATATTACTGCTTCAAATAACCTCCCTCTTTTTCCAAGATTCTGGACAGATTCACTTAAAATATACCCTTTTGCCTTTTCATTACAGAGTAACTAATGAAAATTCCATTTTAAAAGTGCTTTCTGTGAGACAGGAACGTTCTTTTTTTCATTATTAACAAAAGCCCGTATTTCAAGCTGTAGTGATACAGCTTCAGGTAGCATAAATCAGCATTGCTCTGAGATGGCCTGCAGTCCTCTCAACCGGCACTGCAGAACAATTTAGTGGTTTTAGATGACAGTTGGCATCTTTGAAATATTCTCTTTTGCAGAACTAGACTAGATGTGACACTTGCTGGAGAAGAAATCTTGCATAAATCTGTCTAAAAAGACTCACTTAATCATATTACTTCACTAGCAGTGGTAACCTTTGGAGGCCAAAGTCCAGACAGGTTGAGAAATGGAACATGAGTACATAAAGGTGACAATTCCATTAACTGCAATCAAAGAGAGAGGTGAATGGTGAGATAAAGACAAATTACTTATTCTATGAAGAAAAGAAAATGTGTGTGTGTAGGGGAAAGAGGCAGAATGAACATTTTCCAGCCTTGTCAAGGAAATAAAGATCCAGTCCCGCTCCACTGAGATCAACACAAAAACATCTCTCGGCCTCCCTGGATGCAAGCTCTGGCCCAGCATCCCAGCCTGCTGGTGAATGTTAGTGCAAACCGTCATTTGAGGAGTGCACGCATACACAAGTGAGATGCCCCAGTAAAAAATCATATGCAGAATGTCTTGCTGAATTGCCCACCATAGCCGTGCTGGAAATGCAAATACTGGGCCTAGCTTTGCAGTCAACAGGGCGTTTTGCAAAAATAAGCAAGTGGAAAAATTGTTGGCATTTCTGAATCCAGTGATTCAGGATTCTCAAATATACCAGACAAGATCTTTCAGTGCAGCGGGGTGCACTTCAACCCCAAAGGCTGAACAGAAATGGCTTTGGGACTTTCTTTTGGGTCCCAAATCAGAAGCGTGGGTACATATTGATAACTGAAACTACCACCACAGGGGAAAAAAAAAAGAGTTCTTACACTGGTTCAGTGCCAAACTTCAGCATAGGTAAAAGAGGGATTGTCGGGACATATTCTCATCCAGTATAGAATCATAGAATCATAGAATCATAGAATCCAGTGCCAAACTTCAGCATAGGTAAAAGAGGGATTGTCGGGACATATTCTCATCCAGTATCCTTCAGTGAGGCCAAGGACGGCATAAGTAGCATCGCTAAGACAACTTCACATTACCTAAGCTTTTTCAGAGGAGGTGGAAGCTTAGAGACTAGCCATGCTGGCTACTGAGTTGCCTTGCAACACTGGAAATAAAGGCACAAAGGGATCTAATCTGTTATCTCTCCAATCTTCCTAAATTTAAGATAAAGAGGAAATGAATAATATAAAATCTATCTCTATATACAATCCCCTCCTCTTTTTCAATTTTCCCACTTCTGTGTGGCATTTTCAAGAATTTCTATGCAGAAAACCTCATCTAAAACCAATCTATGTACCAAAACAAAACAAGCAGATAAGCGAATTGTTTTACTTACAGAAGCAGAAATGGATCTTTGAGCATTCAAAAATTCTGCTTACTTAGGTATTGATTAGCATAATAATTGAAGGGAAGAAAAGATTTTTAAAGGGTCATGTAACGTGCTTGCTTAGGCAGTTCATACAAGCACCTGAGGGTGGGTTTCAATCTCATTTTTAAGAAGCAGTATAACACTGGTATAGGAAATAGAAGGTGGGGAATACTCTGGATTAAATGCTCACTGAGTCATTAGACTAGGACTATTTATTCAAACAGGGAAATAAGGAAGTAAAAAACAACTGAATACTATGCAACATCACAAAGGGATTTTTGAGTGTACAATAGGAAAAAAAGGAAATTTCCTTTGGGGGACTTCTTCTGTTTTTAACAGAGATATTAAGTTACTGTTAGATACTAGAGCAGCCAAAAAGGGAAATCCCTGTTTCACATAGCTCTAATATAGCTAAAAAAATAATTCAGATTTTATCAATTTGTGACCCATTTCCTTACGTTTTGGGTAGCTCACCTTTTAATACAAAAGTCAGAAGCCGATACAAACAAGCATACAGTATTTCAGGCTCCATCAAAATTCCAGTGTCTTGCCCAGGGCCTGTTCCTGCCTGCCCTCTTGGCTGGATACCAATATCCTTTATTTTCAGGGGAGTCAGCCTTCCAAAAAACCACTTGGCACTTGAGTCAGGACTGCTCTGTTTTCCTAACGTTCACGGCAGGAAGGATGTTTTCTGACTCTGGTACCCAACAGTTGAGCATTCCAGACAGCACGGGGATTTTTCTTTCGAAACCACACTGCCAATGCCGTAAGAGTAAGTGAAGTTCTGTGACACCGTGTGATCCTGGTGGGAAAATAGGATGACTTTGTTGCTATACAGCGATACACAAAGGGAAGACGTGCATGAGACTTGCCACCTTTATAAACTCTCCTTCTGTGGTGTGAATGCTGAAAAAATTCTGGCTTAAAGTCATGTTTTCATCAACTGGTTCCCCTCTGGGAAGACTGCCAGATCTCCACAGATTAGGTTAAGAAGACCCCCCCGCCCAAATGCTTGGCGAGAAAAGAAGCCCACTGCTGCAGTGTAGCAGAGGGGGTGCTCAATAGTCTTTGCACACGTCGTTGCTGTACCCATCCATGTTACCAGCATGTGAAAATGTTCTGTTTGCTCCCCAGAACAGATTCAGTCTGTGAAGACACTGTACAGATTGCCCTGCAACTTTTGCATATCCTTTGACGCTCCTTAAAGATTAGAAATATGACTTTATCATTAACACTTATATTCAAGTAATTCCTGAGGTCACTGATGTCAGGGCCAACTACAGCTGTGCAGCCTTTGCCTGGTGGAACAGAAGCTACATAGGTGAGGGCAGGCGGGTTACAACTCACGGACAGGACTGGACTCCTCACTGACCAGGAGCAGACATACTGCCCTGCTCTGTCTGGGAGGCAGATTTGCCAGAGACGTCTTTCATCATAACTCTGTGCCAAAATCCAGATGTGCAAAATCGTGAAATCACAATCTGTTGAGCTGGAAATGAATTTCACAAGCCAAGCTGAGAAAATCTGTTGAGCTCCTTAAATTTCACAATACCTTACATCTCATGAAAAATAACTGTTAACAGAGGTTAAATATTTTTCTGCAACATCCTTTCAAGACTTTTTCCATAGAATATGACCAGCTTACGTGAAGCAGTTTGTTACAGTGGTGATATATCATGCAGTGATGCCAAAATCCAGTCAGCGTGGAGAAGGGTTGAAGAAGGCTCAACCACACTTCAAGCAGCACGTCCTCTTGCCACAACTGGGACTTTCTATAAAAGGCAGATCCTATTTTGCCCCTTGAATTCAGAAACTAGTGAACGCAGTCATGGGAGGCAAAGTACCATCAGCATCTATTAATTCCTAAAAAATATAATTGTCTGTTCTCCAAGAGTAAGATTGTTAACTGGAATCTGTACTTCCCAGATTATAAACAACATGCAGCCTTTCTCCTAAACTCATTGCAAAATGTACAAATGATGTTCTAAAGCCAGCACTGTAATCTTTTAAAATCTTAAATTCAACAAGGGCTCATTCAAGTACATAAAAAGAAGTTTGTAGGATCATTTAGCCACCTGCAAATCATACACAAATAAACCCAACAGCACTAGAAACAGGAATAAAATCACCATATATGTAGCTAGTTCCTACAGCAGTTAGATTTTCATGCTCTGTATACAACCCAAAACAAATTGTCTGCTTATAATTAAAATATGATACTGTTTCCAAAAGTCTTACCTCTAGGGAGATAATTTTATACCACGGGGCAGATTCAGCCCTGGTGTAGTATTTCTGATTTTCATGAAATTACACCATTAAAGAATTTGGCCCAACATCTTACCCACACTGATGCAATTCAACTTTTAAGGGACAGTTATGGGGTTTCCTCCTAACTCAGGCCAAGTTTCTGGAATAAGGGAAGTCTGTAAAAGAAACTGTTGGAGGGATGTTTTAGTCTGGCATTTAGGAATACTCACGTATTAGAAAACGTCACAGGGTTTATTTTGTACGTCTTACATGTTAGAATTTCTTTCTTTTTTTTCTTTCCTTACAGATACATTGCCAGTAGGTGGTCACAGCAAAACAGGATAAAACCCAAAGAAATGTAATGAAACAATTATAGACAGCCGTGAGTAGAAAGACATTTGTGGATCCAGTTAATTCTGCTTCATCTTTGTTATATAAATCTATTTTCCAAACTTAATGTATTGCCTGAGCTTGTAATATAGGATTAACAGAATGTCTGCACCACTCAGGAGTCTGGAGAAAAATGTAAGAAAGATGTTAATTCTCCAACATTTTAGGTAACTAAATATTTTGGGCATGATTGATCTCACATAGTGCTTTGGATTTATGCTTTGCATGACAGATGGAAATCAGAATATATGCACTGATGCTCTCCCTGATGTTGAAAACTTCTGACTTCTGTGAAGAATCAGAGAAAAAGAGCCATAACACTTCCCTCCTCCTGGAGCTAACCTGGTCTTTCCTAAAATCATGCAGTTTCATAGGTCATGGCCCAGAAAACAGGAGTCCCCCCAGCTCTTCCTGCCAGTGCTACACGTACCGGGCACCGTGAGTGGAGGAGGGTTGCAAACAGTGGAAATGTGATGCTGCCAGAGGTCTGGGGGCAATTATTCCATTCCCTCTGCAGTTGTTTGAGGTGCTTAAACAGCATGAAGCAGATGCCTAGGTTCTTAATAAGGCTTCCTGGGAAAATCCACACTGTTTCAAAACCGTATCAGAACCAAAACTACGGAAAGATTAATCAAGCTTGGGTCAAGAGGGAAGAAGGATGCAATAGCTTTTGACAGCAGTGAACTGATAAATGATACACCCAACGTTGAGCTCTTTTACGAGTCAGAATATTCAGTGCATCACATCAAAAACTCCTTTAGACTATTGACATATTAGAAAGAACATGGCAAAAGATGGTGAAGATAATAGAACCATCAAAGATACATTTTAAATTTACTACTTGCATGCTTACACTAATCTGACAATCATAAAGCCTTACTATATATCAAATGGAACAAATGCTATCAGTAAATTAAAACATATATAGAAATATGTGTGCAAAAGTTAAAAAACCTTTTGGCACAGCAGACAGCTGCAGTTCAGAGTTTCTTCCAGTGTTAAGCACAAGCAGCAGAATGAAACTGCTTTAAGCATTCTTTAAAATCACATTCTGGTTGCTAATCTTTGGATTTTACAGTTTGTCTTTCTGAAGCAATGGTAAAACCATCACAGCTTTAATCAACTTTTTGAATCATTGACCAGTCTGAAAAACTGAAAGTGAAATAAAAAGCAAGACACAACAAAAATCAGAAATACTGTACATTTTTGCCATTTCTGTCAGCCACAGCTAGGAAATGTTGTTATAAAACAAGATTAAAAATTGAGGAAGGAAATAAATGATAACTGCACTCTTACTTTAGGCTATTTTATGTCTGATTGTTTCAAAAGTAGGAGTATGAGACTGGGTACGTAACTTCACCCTCTCCAAGAATTGCCAGGATCGTTGCTTATGAGTGTGATTTAAATGCGACAGCAGTTTCCTTACCTACAATACATTGTAATCATGGAAATATCATAGGATGTTTTAATTGACACCTCGTCCCCATCATCACGACGTACACTGAAAAGTCATCATCTTGGGAGATACAGGACTGGAAATTAGGATGGCAGATAATTATCCCATGGGCTGCAAACATTTCCCTCAATGGAATCCCAGCCTCCAAGGGTCAGCAGCGAAGAAACAAGCCCATGTGCAGGGCACAACTCCACCATGATGGGCACACTACCTACTAGAGCTACGTGTGGTTGCTGAGAGCACAGGGGCCTGTACAGACCCCCCTAAGCTGGTGACAGGGTTTTGGGAGGGAGGCCAGGGGGGTTCTACCAGCTCTCATACGTACTCTCTTTTGCTGCCTTCAAAGGGAATGATGTTTTAACTCTGTCCACTCCTTCATTTGTATATTCTACTGCTATAAGTCAATTTTCCCCAATTAGCTAGTGCCATGTGTCAAGTTTACTCAGTTTTTTTCCGCTTTCTTTATTGCTCTTAAATTAACTGGCAGCTCAAAGTTTCATCTAAAGCTATTTTGTGTGCTTTTTCTGCCTTAAAAAATGCTCATCCAAGAATTATTTACTCAGTCCCAAGCTTTAGGAAGTCACCTTGATATGGGAGGAAAAATATCTGTTAGAGTTGCTTTGTGTTAATATGTTAGTGAAGGGAAAGAAATCCCAGATAGAGCTGTGGATGTGACTGGTTTCATCCTTTGAGAAAATACATGTTCTAAATCAGCTCAGTGGTACTTGTGTCACTGAGTTTATTTACTCAGTCCCAAGCTTTAGGAAGTCACCTTGATATGGGAGGAAAAATATCTGTTAGAGTTGCTTTGTTTTAATGTTAGTGAAGGGAAAGAAATCCCAGATAGAGCGTGACTGGTGACTGGTTTCATCCTTTGAGAAAATACATGTTCTAAATGTGGTACTTGTGTCACTGAGTTTCTAATGTTGTTGAAAACTCACCAATATACCATGATCTTTTAAAAACTTAAACTTAAAATTTTGACCCAAGAGTAATGTCCCCCTTTAAAAGAAAAACCTCCAGAATTAAGATTTCAGCTGTTTCATCCTGAGCTAGAGAACTATTTTTCCTAGCTGCTGCCTGTATTGGGCTTCAAACCAAAACTGAATGAATGCAAAGGAGGAAGCCTAATGTACAGCAGTTTAAATATATGGAGGCTTTTGGGCTTTTGGAACATCAAACCCTTCAGAGTACAAAATATTTGCAATTTGGTATTGCAAGCATTTCCCTTCCCACTGGAAGGTTAATTTATCATAGAGGAATACATTGCTCTCAGGCAATATCACAGGCTGGTTGTGTTCTTGCTACCTCAACTTATTCTTATAACCAGAAGAAAATTAGTGTCACCTGTGGTGAGGGTTGTCTTTGAGAGACTGGTCTCATATCATACTCCTATTTAAGGGAATCAGTTCAGAAGTTGAGGGTAGGGCTAAGGATCGCAGTGGTATTTTTTGCCTTTTAATCACAGCCTTTTCAAGGTAATCCATATTTTAGCAGTAGTCCATAATGTTATCTTCATTTGTAACCTGTTGCCATATTTATTCCATAGAACTTTGCACATAGCCTATGACCATGGAGGCTTACTCACTGCAACTCCTCCCAGCACAGTTTCCAGCAATACCTCCCAGCCATTTGCAGCTTGTTTAGCATGCAAAACCCCACACTGGGGTTTACTCTGGGTTGAGTAACGATGTTCTTATTACACCCACTCACTATCCTTAATATTGGGTAACAGGAAACCAGGGGATGAAACAAGCTATTACTTTTGGTTTCTATGGTCCTGAATCTGTAAGCTCTAGTTCTATGGGGGTATCTGCTCTTTGACAACACTTCCCATATTGTGTTTCAGCCAAGAAGATCGATGTACCTTAGTTAAAGTGAGTCATTCACTGAACCTAGGCCAAACTTTGAAGCAAATCTGGGCCAGTTTACAGCCTCAGGAGGAAACCTGGTTTTTGCATGAATTAGATGTGAAAATAAGCAGAGCCTGACTGACATCTTCCCTGAATTCCAACTGTAAGGGTAAAAACCCAGAGGGCATGAGCTTCAGGCATGACAAAAATGAGGAGGGGAAAATCAGGCTTCCTGTCTCCCCTCCAAGAGCCAGAGAGACACGTTACTCAGAACTTAGGGTAAATTGTTGATTATTTATACACTAATTAAGTAATGTTTATAGAATGTCTTACATATGTAAATTGCTGTAAATATGCTTACATTTTTCCTGCAGTCTCCAATTAAACGAACTTTCATTTTAGAGCAAAACAATTCCATACCAACTTGTTACACCAGTTCTTTAGCCAGGCAGCTTTTTAGCTAATGGTTCCAGCTCAGACTGCACTATTGCATTTCTCTGAGGAAATTTCTGTGCTGGTTTGTAGTTGTTTTAATTCCATCACAGATCACATTCTGTTTAATGATAATTTGATTTTGCATTGCAAGACCCAGATGTACATTAGGAGGGCACAACCTTTCCATTTATCTCTTAAAGTAACTATTTTTTCCCCAAGTTCCATCAGGTTAAAACAGTTAGCAATTTTTCTCCTTGAAGTCTCCCTTCAGCTTGGCCAAGATATATAATAGATCAGTGTAGCTACAAATGCATTACAACATTAGTCATCAATTAGTTTTAAACCATCGCTGTAATATATCATTTATCTAGCTTGCTGTAGCACTATTGTGAACATTTAATTTTTTAAAGGCATCTTGATTTTTTAACCTGACGGCTGCATCCCCTTTTGTCTCCTATACAGACATCTCCTTAAGGAACAATAAAAATTAGATTTGTTTGACCTGCACTCAGGGTTCGTTTAAGCGAGATGGATTTTAATTGCTCTGCCTAGTCTACCAGACAGCTTTTATGTAATATTCCAGACATTTACGCACTGTCTTTTGCCTTGCTGTAAGCAGGTGTGTGTGCCCACAAATGCCTGTAAAGCAGCTCTTACAATTCATTTCACATCTCTGACAATCCTCTGGGAAATTGCTTACTCTGAGATATCATTGGCATCAAATTAAGGGCTCCAGTCATTGCCACTTCTTTCATCCTAATACCATTTTCTTTTGTCTTTAAGATTCAACTTTTTGAGTCGGTAATTCTAAAAGGACTTTGCTGAGGACTGTGTTCCTTGTGCTTGCATTGTCATCATACAATGCAGATGACTCACCTCTGCATCTCCGGATAGTGAGAATGTGTACAGAGCCTCACCTGTCTCTCCCAAAATCCACATTGTCCTTCTACCATTTGCAATACCTTTGACTTAGATTTATGATTTGAGAAGGTTTGGAGTATAAGACAACTAAGACTGAGAGAAGCATGTCTATGCCACAGACGTTCACTATCTTGAAGTATCTCTAACTTCAATTAGTAAGTCATGCGAGCAAGTTATCACAGCATTGACTCAGAGCCCAAAACACCCTGACTTCTCTGCCAGCTTAGAGTAGAGGCAAAATGAGCTCACATTTGCCCACGATGAACCTTATTTGCTCCAGCTGCTCCAGCAGGGAGAGGAGAACCTCATGCGGAGAGTTCTCTCCCTGCTGACTCTCCTCTTCCACGGGTGATACAATCTGAAGACGAGGTCCTCTATTTTTCCTGTTCTTCCCATTCCTAAAAAGGAAGATTTGGCTGTCCTGTGAGTTACCAAATCAGCACAAAAAAATGGGCCTCCTAAGCAGTTATTTGTGCCTACAGCTGGTTCTGGTCTACGCTCTGTTGGACACACACATGTACTTAATTCCCGTTTGTGCTGGATGCCTATTAAAAGAACAAATCTGCAAGTGAGGAGGGTCTCTTCTACCATGTCAATGGAAGTGAAATACGTAAATCTCCTGCATGCTGAGGGCAAATGTATGCTTAAAATGCTTGGGAGAACAGCTGTGAAAAAGAATAAGCGGTTTGTATTATGCTGCAAAGTGTCACTGATCCAACATGCTAAGCTGATCCTCATGTAGTACATTGTGCTTGCTCCATGCTTGCATTATACTGCCTACTGCTTCTATGTGTGGGTAATTCAAAATGCACGGCATTTCAGACAGCATAGAAAAAGGGACAAACCTGGCTTCTTCTGTATAACCAGCATGGTTCACAGCAGCAAGGGACCACTGGATTGGAAAGAACAATTCCAGTTAGGGGCCCCGTGCAGTGAGTGGAGGTGGAGATCATGGTGAGCCACGGAGAGAGCTGTGGAGGAGCAGGGGGAACTGCCTGTCTTTCCTAGTCTGGGAAGCCATAAGAGGGATTGGAATAATCTTCCTCGGTGCCACTGTTTTTCTCCCCTTTTATCGGCCAGTGGTGAATCCCAGTCACCTGGGAGACATCCTGGAGTGAGACTGGTATATGATGATAGGGGAATCACAAAACATTTAAATAATATTAAGGGTTCTGTAGGAGACTGTGGAAGGAAGTCCCATTTCCTTTCCTTAAAACTGAACAGAATTGCA